CGAAAAAATAATTAAAACCAATGAAAAATTTAATAATATCCGATTCAAATAGGGAAGTTGTATACATACCCTAGGGACGAACCAGAGCGAAGCGAGGATGAATCGCTAGTTTTTTTTATAAGATAGATCCTATAAAGTGCAGTAATTGGTCCACATTGTTATTTACAGCTTATTGGTAATCCCGTTTTGGAATAACCGAGTCATTTCAATTTCTGTGGAAAATAATAATAAAGTCATCAAAGTCATAGATAAGCTCAAATACTTACATACACAACATACATGTAACGCGCGGGACTTTTGAGTTTTGAAGGCTTGTTGAAACCTAGACTCAGCTGATAATATTTAAAAAAATCAAATTTGCTTGTCCATTTTACTTATAAAATTTCATTCTTTCTTCTATTGGGCTTAATTTTCAAATTATCTGATAATTTTATCTATATTATATCGGTAACTTTATGGTCGGTACACAGTAGCTCAACAAAATTTTATAGCAATCCGATGAAGGATCTAGAAATATACATATTTAATGCAAACAATCAGACAAATACACGATTAATTTTTCTTTACAAGCATATATCATAGTAATCTGTATCCATATTTAATATTATAAATGTGAAAGTGTGTTTGTTTGTCTGTCTTTCTTTCATGTCGAAACAGAGTGACAGATTGGCGTGATTTTTTGCGTGGAGATAGTTAAAGGGCTGGAGAGTGACATAGGCTACTTATTATCGCCGAAGATTATCACACTCCCATGGGATAACATGTTATAATACAACAAAAAATTTTTTTATCAGAATTACTTGAAACTTAGTAATAATACTCTTCAATACAATTAAAGAAATACGTGTTTTAGTATTTTTTTAAAATTCATCCCATAAAGGGGTAAAATTTTAGAGTTTTATTTGTAGTTTTAGCGAGAGCGAAGCCACGGGTTCTGCTAGTAATATATGAAAGAGCACAACATTAATTAATTGGGGGCGGTGTCTCCTTATCAGCATTGTATCGTGTCTACGAATCGAGCGCTATAATAATATTATATTAAAATATGTATTTATTTATCTAAGTCCTTGCGAGACTACTATATTGTGCATCGCAGTTACAAGTCCCGACTATATGGTGCTTTGCTGATTGAGATACTTCATTGCCTATTGTCCCATGCCGCGATGAGACACTGTGATTACCGAAACAAATGAGTGTTGAATAATTATATATTTATAATTGAGGGTAAACATACAAACCATTTTCTCTAAAGCTTTTGTATTTATTTTAAAGCAGGTAAGCTTCTGTAAGTGGGTGATTTTGCAAAACACCCAAATTCTTCCTAACCCTTATCTCTGCGTAGTATCTATGTGGCACTGATTTGACGATGATAAGTGAGCTATAAAGTACACAGCGATAGCGGTACGATATAAATTACTTATCTAGTCCCGTTTTATTATCTGTAAAATTTAACGGAAGTGCGGGTTACTGAAAAATTTAAGATTACATCTTAAGTGTTTTTTATATCTCAAAGCAAATATTTAACTTGTCACATAGTTCTAGGGCACCACTTGTGGGAAGCTACCACTCGCTGCATCGCACTGCTCCAAGTGGTAATTATATTGAATTCATAGGTATCCTGAGTTTTTTCACTAACTTTTTACAAGAGGATATTGAAGCAGATATCAAGGACATAGAAAATAGTGACGTAGAATGTGAAGTAGCAAGCTAGGTCAGTGCACTTGTCCAGGAATACGCAGCAGATTATATGTGTTATAAACAACAATAGGAAAGAGGGACGCGATGAAAACGTATATTGAATGATTATATGGGTTAACTAACAGCCGCAATTCGGTTACAGGATGGCAAAATTTACCACTATTTAGTGCATCGACCTTCCGACACTCGTAACTTCACTTGTAGCTATCACAGTTCCCACTGTGCGAGAAATGAGCTCCCGGGCCCAGGCCAGGGGAGAGTGACCTGATGTGACTGTGTGCTTCGCAGCATGAGGAGTTAACTGATGGCCGGAAGGTACAATTGGTGAACTCTTTGATGCCAGTTTTAGCGAATTCGTTGCGGGTTGGATAAATAAAAATTAATTAATCGATTAAATCTCTTTAATTTATCAGTTAATTTGAAATATCTTTTAAATACTAATCTGACTCACTTCGGGCATTTGACGTGATTGTATAAATATATAAGAACAAATATAAGCTGTAAGATACACCCGCATTCTTATCTGAGGCTTTAAGTTTAAATAAACTTCAAAATTCAAAATGAAAACTGTGAGCGAAACAGAAGCGACCGCGGTGCGGAGATCGTCCCCGGAACAAAGTGGTTCATTGCCACATCGCGTGTCAATATCACGCGTGTAGAACAAACACGGGGTTGCAGACTCCGCTAAACTGTTGACACTAAGACTATCCCACTGATTCATTATATTATATAATTATTTTATATAAAATAACGAAATATATTCACGTATTACATTTTTTTTCTTACTTTTCAATCTTAAAAAAATCCAATAATTCTTTTTAAATCACCTTGAGAGTGACCTTGACAGCTTGAATTCGAAGAAAAATCGAACCCCAAAGGTGTATAAGCAATATTTTATGTATTTAGGTGATTTCTTCATACATATAAATTATTATTTAACATTTAACTCCTACGAATAATTTGTGAACTAACCTATACATAATAATACCTATTATATTATAAGAGTTTTTATTAAGGAGGTTTTTGTTTTGTTTCGTTGCATCATTAGGTGGAACGGAACAGTGCGGAGATATCGATGTCGTAAGACGACTTCATATGGACATAGCTTTATCATTACACTCTGACCTGCGGAGATAGCCATCGCACCGGCGACTCAAAGTGTTCCAATATCTGTGGCGCATCTCCCGCAATTGTACGTACTTGTGTAGAGCTTTGTACGGCGAGGCACATTAGTCGTAATAAGGGAAATTGTTGTTAAATTTCGTAATAATAAATACTGCTTTAATGCTACAGCTTTGTCTGCTAATTTTAATCGATGAATTAAAAAAAGGCGCTGGTTTGTACAGGGAATATTTTGTCTTGTTGCTGTATATTTACTTTATATATAATATACTACATACATAAGTATGATACATGAGGTGACATTTAAGAAATATTTTAACCTAGTAACTGATTTTAGATCATATTTATATCTCTTAATTGAATTAACTAAAACATATGAGCAGCTCTAGATTTAAATTGTATATGAAATTTCGTCTTATTGACTTACAGACTCTGCGCTCGCGCACGTGCGCATATTGATATGTCGAATTTGGGTCGGTGTGTACGAGATAAAGGTAAATGTTCTTAATAAAGTCCTTGTAAGTATTACCTTAAGAGCTCATTTTTACGCCATACGTAACTACACAAGTGGCGTTGAACTCCTTACTACTACATAATGTACGTTCCGGTTTATGTCGCGCAGCCGTCAGGTGACCACCGACAGTGACACTTTGGACACGAAACATATTCTAGATTGCCTATAAAGACCTAGAAATAAACAAATTTTTGTATTACGTAATTAGTTTTAAGATATAATTTTAACAATTTCTTAATGACTTTATATTCATAAAAATATGTTATTAAGAAATGAAAATGTCACTTTTGCTAAACAATTACGATTCTTAGTTATATAGGTATTTAAAGTTCGATTCGATATACATCGATTATATAACATTTATAGTATGTAGTGCTTGTTTGACTTTATAATAGGAAAAAAATATTAAGTTTTTTCATAATTTTATTCAATTCGTATCGAGATTGCTCCGATACCGCAAGCTTGAATTGGCACAAGTTTATTCGCCAGTTGGAACTGCCCACTTCAGCAGAGTCGTAGGATCGGGATAAGTAGGAGTAGATATCGGTTACACTTCCATGACACGTAAAGTGAATGTTACAGATGATATAATGGGAGCCGCATTTGTTACACATTTCATGCCGTCATTACGCAATTTCATTTAACAAGGCAGTTTCCCGAAACCACAAACTGGTCGCGTTGAGCCGATATCCGAATTGTTCACAACGAGAGCAAGCCGTGGCTTGTTTTTATTAAATTATAATTTTTGTCAATGAATTGAAATAAATATATATTTAATTATTTCATTTATCTAGATCTACGCGTAAGTGTCTTTTCATCTAAACTTTTATTTTTGGTAGAGTTTATACGTAGAGTTTAGGTAATTTAAAATGAGAGTTTGCATAAATATTGTAACGTTAAAATATGGCAGATCCGAAACAACTGTGCGTCACTGTAGGCATAACACTAATTCTAAAACGTTCTAAGTATAAAAGGCAACATTTCTTACATTTTCCTCTCGACGTGACCTACAAAATTGACCCGTCCGTAACTAAAGCCTCTTTAGCTAAGAGGTTTAAGAAGTCTAGTGTTTCCTTGTAAGCTAATAGAGTTATATCATCAGCTTTACTCTACATAGTAGAGTGTTCGCTTTTCATTATTTAAATATCTCTTTGTATTTATTTGAAATGTGTTCAGCCCTTATTAACATCCCACTGCTGGGCACGGGCCTCCCATCAGTACGAGGGGGATCAGGCCATAGTCCACCACACTAGCCAAGTGCGGGTTGGCGGACTTCACATGTGTTTCGAAAACTTGCTAGGTTCTCTTAGACATGCAGGTTTCCTCACGATGTTTTCCTTCACCGTAAGGCAAGTGGTAATCATGTTAGAAATGATTCGCACATGAAAATATCAGAGGTGCGAGACCCGGGATTTGAACCCGCTTCACTCGGTTTCCCAAGCGAGCGTGTTACCACTGGGCTACCACTGCCTGTTATTTGAAATGTTTATTTGAAATATAACCAAATAAGTTCTAAGTGATAGAAAATTCTGAACGAAGGCTGATTTTGCTCTTGCAAGCCATTTATGTAATGTAAAGTAATTATTAATTTTATTTTTTATATGTATGTTGTATGTTTATTATGTCTATATTCTGTGGAGTAACAAAGAGACAAGTGACAACACTATCTCTCCGCGTCCACTTTATTAATTTCCCGGCGCTGTGGAGGAACTCCTCCACGGCCGACGTCTAAGCCGCTCAAAATATTACCGCAATCTTTATAAATCGTATATATAAGCTTATTGGATTTATTAAAAAGCTAATCTGTCTGGGAAAGACGCGCGGTTTCATAATTATTTGAGTGCTTTATCGCTCGAGCGCTTAAAATTGCTTAATGATGAAAACAATGGTGTACAAACACACTTCACAACACGCTCGCTTCGTATCGGGAAGATTCTTTCGAAAACGCTAAGCATTGTAGATGTTATTGTTAAATTTTATAATCTTTTACAGTTTTATTATCGTTTCATTGTCCACGAAGCCGTGGCTGTATCCATTTATTAAAATGGCAGCCTATCTGCGCTGTCTACTTCGGCGGTGGTCGTGGATACAAACGTTCGATAAAATAAAAAAAATTCTTGTAAAAATATAGATATCTATCTAATTTATGACTTCGTTACAATAAAGAAAATCCCTATATTTAGGGATAAGCCCAGTCATTGATAGCGAGTGCGTTAAAATATAGCTGTAATTATCAATTTGTTCGACGTACAGCCGCAAGACATGCCGTGCTCTCTATGTATAAACGTGTATCTCTCTATATGTAAGTATAGAATCAGATAAGGTGTCAGCGAGTTTTATTTTTAACAGGTTGTAAATAGCGCATGCAATTGTTGCCCCATTGAGCGCGCGATAACGATGACGACTGGTCGAGAGTAGCCACTGTATCTAAACAGTGCTTACCTCGATATTGTTTCATACTAACAGACAGACATACAAATATACGCACATTCAATTAAGTAACTTCATTATTACAAACAGTATATTTATACCAAGTGAATCGAACCCACGACTCCATGTGTATGGAGCCCGGTGCGCAGGGAGCTACGTGTCAAGACGGTTTCAGATATTGCACTAGGCAACACTGATTATATTCATCATATATATTTCATTATTATTACAAGAGTAACGTGTGAGTTGTAGGTGAATTATTGTATAATTATAAATTAAAAATTAAAAAAAAACTATTTAAAAATTAATTGTCATTTAACGATTACACTGGCACGCGTGAAGCACTTAATCGAGTAATCATACGACAAAATGCCTTACATCGTTTTGGAAAAGCACTGATATTTTTACACTGCTGGACCGATATTAACAGACAGACAGACAAAAATTCTAAAAACTATATATTCGGCCTCTGTATCTATAATTATGTCTATTTCAATAAGATTTTCCAAAAAATATTTAATGTACAGATTTGGCATAGTTACAATTTTATTATATGTATAGATGATATAAGTGAGCTGCAAGTGGCTGCGGTGTGCATGTAACGAGGTGTGTATCGGACGCCGGAGATTGCCATCGTCCGCTGTGGCCCAAATTTCTTGTTGGCGAATTGTGATGGAGCGGCTCTTGCTGTCTTACCTCCCTATGGGTCTAGAGGCGCTTTGCGTAGACCACAATCAGTACCTACTAGTGGTGAAGAGTCCATACAAGACGTCTTACCTTAAAATTATTTTTGTATAATTTTACACTTTGCCACTGGTACCTACTATGAAATATGTATATATGTTTATATCGCACAGTAATATGTAAATAATAGATTTAGATAAATTTATATGTATAGAAGCCCACTGCTTCTCCATTTTTGGGCGGACTTAGAGTATCGTCTTTAATATTTTATATGGTTATTTAAACCAAAAGTACAGAAAATAAAAGCAAGTTATAGTCTACAGTGTGCGACACCTAATAAATTAGAAAGCTTTTTGCACACTATTATCTATATTTTTACATAGTAAAGTAGTAAAATGTACTCGCTTCCGCTGTCTGTTCTTAGATCTTTTAAACTACTCAACAGATTTTAATGCAGTTTTCAGCAATAGATAGAGCGATTCAAGAGGAAGGTTTATATGTTTAATACATACATATTATAGTACAGAAAAGCCGAGAAATTCAAAGATTTGTATTTCATACTAACCATAAGAAGTCGTTTTACTTACTACTACGTTTTACTTACTTACTTCGTTAGAACTTGTATATACGGAAGTATTTAAATATTTTTGTTAAAGCCAGAATTTTCCAGCTTAAATAGTAATCTCTGAAGTGTCTCTAAATACTTGCATTAAATCATCTATTGTTCTGTGCAGCGAGCGGTATGTCGAGTGCGGCGCTTTACGTAAGCAAAAATCCACCGTCCTATTTACATACATCAAGTAAACTTAGCTGAGATTAATCGTTTAGATGTCGAGATAAAGATTTGTTCTAAAGGCACATTTACTTCTATCCATTTATCTTTTTCATATCATAAATATCTTATATTTTAATGAGTAATTTTATATTTTGTCTTTGCATTTATCTAATACCTGTAGTGATGCATATTCTGAAAGTTGTTAAAACAAGTTTTTTTTTCAAATAATCATATTAGTTCAAAATCTATTTAGCCAAATATCTTTGGTACTGTGATCATTTTAGGATCATCATTATCAAACGATCATCAACTGATTCTGAAGACTATTTATTATAAAAGATGTTAGAAAGTAATGAAAGTTATCAGTACCTTATACCTATGTAGAAGTTTTGTCTGTATGTATATAGCTTATGATACTTTATTTGAAGTTTTTAAAGATAATTTTACTCATAGCAAAAAATATGCTCCCCGGCATATTGGTTGTAGACTTAGTAGAAATTACATGTGAGCGGCAATCTGTTGTCAGCAACTTGTATCTGAATGGATCTGTCGATTAGTTTCCTACGTGATATATAAATGTCACCGTCCGTGAACCGCAGTTTCAGTGCTGTGGCGGCGACCGCGGCGGGGACGCCCAGCAACGGGACCCTGCCTTTCATTAAACTGTTCATAAAATGCACATCAATTTTTCAAAGCTCACAAAATGTAAGCTATAGAGGATTACTTTGCTTATTTATTTTTATTTAATTCCATCAACGGTGTTTTAGCATGAATCCGATATCGATAGACCAGAAATAAAAACCCCAAAATATTCTTCAACGATTGGATGTTGACAAAATTTTTAGTTACGTACGAAATCATAATCTAGTTCAAATGGGTTATGGAAATAAAATTGTGGTTCAAAATCAGATCAGCGATAATTATTAAATATTTGCGTGAAAACTTTCACCGTCAAATATTGGTTAGTTATGTTCCACTTTCTTTCCATCGCTATTTGCTATATTTTTTTACGACCATAAATAAGCGGCTCTATGATATAAAAAAAACAACAATTAAATCGCTGTAAAAGATTAAAGCCAATCTAATAATATAATAATTTAAAGGTTGGCAGAACCGTTATTACATCTTTTTTTTATTGACGAGGCAACGGTGCCCGCGATCACATTTATTTAAAGAAGATAACTTATAAGTTAAATGAAAAATTAAGGTTTTTATTAAGATGTTTTTGACCTTAGCGTCGATGCAGCGACCTGCGACGTAAATTTAATGTGTAAGTCGAAATAAAGCTTTGCATATAAAAATACATCGTTTAAAATAGACGATTACCATTTTATCTATACATATAATAAAATTGTAACTAACCGAATCTGTACATTAAATATTTTTTGGAAAATGTTATTGAAATAAACATTATTATCGATACAGAGGCCGAATCTATAGTTTTTAGAATTTTTGTCTGTCTGTCTGTCTGTCTGTCTGTCTGTTACCGCATCACAGAAAAACCACTGCAGGGATTTTGATGAAATTTGGTGTATGGTGATAGCTGGTTATCCGGGTCATCATATAGGATACTTTTTACCGCGGGAAAATGTCTTATTTCTGAGAAAAAATACAAAAACTGCAATGTAATAGTATACTAATATGTAAAACCTAAGAATTTGGTTTTAGGTCATCTGAACGCAGGAGGAGCCGCGTGCAGTGCTAGTTAAAAATATATTTGTCGATAATAGGTACTTAATGTCACGTTGAAGTAAGCCGAGGTCAGCGTGGCAGCTAAAGCTCGCGCTGAAGGAAGTATAGCGATTATAGGGTCGTTAATTAACTTTTAATGGTATCGCTGGTACGAGTGTGTCGTTGAAGACACTTCCGCTAAAAAAAAATAAGTTTTTGCTGATCAGAATATAAATAGAAAAATATACTTAATATTATATAGGTACATAAATCTTCTTTAATAGTTAACTTTGAACTAATATTACGTTTTAAATCTTAGTTTTTATATTCGTGACAAAACTTTAGCTGGCACAGGTATGTTGTCGGGTATAAATATGCTAACATATGATTGTTAAATAACAACTGTATGACACTTGTTTATGTTGAATATAAACTTCCAGTTCATATTGAAATAAGTTAATAAAGCCCTAATTACTACTTTATTTGTGGTATGCCGTAGGTAAAACACGAGTGCGGCGGTACGTACGTACGTTGAAATATACCAAAATATGGTCTGCCTTTTGGTCTTAAAAAATAAGTTAGATGAATATTGTGCTGGCTGGTTTATGGTTAGGAATTAAGGGGTGACCTGCACCTTAAAAAGCAGTTTCTTTGAGTTAAATTGACAAATCGATACAAAGTAAGTGTTACTTAAAAATAAAATTTACTTAGCTCATCTATACTAATAAATGGAGAGGCGATTTTTTTGTTCGGTTATACTGCGATAACTACTGAACCGATCGGAATAATACTCATACCATAAGATGCAGCGTGTTTCGGAGAAAGTTTTAATATATGATATATTGGTGATTAATGTACTACGCGGGCGGAGCCACGGGAAAGCGCTAGTGTAAATATACATGTACTTGATTGACTTGAGAGATTTGACTTGAGCAAGGTTTGCATCACTTAGACGATAAATTTTATAAGTTGAATGTCCGTGTTAATTCTGGTCAATAACTAAAGGCAATTGATATTTTACGGTTCTGTAGTCATTTCTTTAGGTTTAAATATTTCAAAATATTTTATTGCTACTATGCACTACTCGTAGTTCTGCAGTTTTACGTAGTTTTATTATTTTTACCAACTGTAAATATTCTCATATTATCTTTTATGCCATCTTAGTATATACGAGAATGGTCACTATCTTAAAGAATTACCGATACTTTTTCTGTTATAAGATTAGCTTCATTCAATTATGCGCATTTTATTATAAACACGCATAACAGTAACATATAAGTTGTTTTTAAACTTAACTGCGATCTTTCTGACAGATAGCGCTGTTTTGTTTATTATCTGTCATTCGTTTTATACTTTGATAAAAACATACATAATGTGATTCATAAATATCAATTATGCAATTACTTAGGGTTTGTATACTTTCGGTCTTACTTGTTTGGGAAACCGGATGAAGTGGGTTCAAATCCCGGATCTCGCACCTCTGGTATTTTCATGATTTCATATGAAGGAAAACATCGTGAGTAAACCTGCATGTCTAAAAGAACCTAGTAAGTTTCCGCACTTGGCCAACATGGTGGACCATGACTTGATCCCCTCGTATTAAAGGGACGCCCGTGCCAAGGAGTGGGACATTAAAAAGAGATGTACATACATACATACTTTTGGTCGTCAATTCGTATAAGAACAAAATCAAATTTAGTTTAACTGAGGCCTTGTGAGGAAAATACAGAGCTATTTAGTCTGCGAGATAGATATGTACCAGTTTTTACTTTCGATATGAATTATGTATAATTCCGATGAAACACTGTCCGATGTCGATGTATGACGTCGAATGCTCGGCAAATTGTGGTTAAGAGTACTACTTACTTAATTCATTTTGTTTCTAATTATTTTTCTAATTCTATAAAGGCACAGTTGTGCTTCTTTTAGAGTATCTTTTTTACGCAGAAACGTTTCTTGATTTTTTATGGTACGGAGAAAGACTTTATATCCTGACACATACATAAAGCCGTTTCCATGGCGACTATACCGTGGAAATGATTCTGCCCTAAACAGTTGAAATTGCTCAATTTTTGTTAATCACTCACAATTTATAAATATAAAAATATCATCGAAGTTTTGCATCAAAGAAAAAGTCAGTCATTTCAAAGCACATTTTTTCTTCTAAAGGCACCCGAACAGAACACTTCTCGTGTACATCGTAAAATTTAAGTTCATATTTCAATAAACCAACCGTAGGTATAGGAAGCTTTTAATCTGACGTTACGTAAAACATAACGGAAAACGTTCTTCACTGCTAGTGACCGACCGACCGTCGGAAACGTAGACCATTATTAGATGGTTAATTGACTTCATCGAATTTTCAATTGATTTTATAAGAAGCTCTCATTAAAAGTGAATTTGTTGTAGGCTTCTTAATAAACTTACGGTAAATGAGTGTTGAGACGAGGGATCTTAGCGGGGCTCAGAGTGGCTTTTATATCTACATCGACCTTTACCACCACCATAAAGTTAAATGCCTTATATTTCTTAAAATATAGTTTTAGTTATTATTTGATATGATTTTTTAACCGACTTCCAAAAACGAGGAGGTTCTCAATTCGTCGTATTCTTTTTTTTATGTATATTCACCGATTAGTCGAAGACGCCTGAACCGATTTGGATTTTTTTTTTGTTTCAAAGGGTATACTTCCCAGGTGGTCCCATATAAATTTTATCAAAATCGGTCAAGCGGTTTTTTTTAAATCAACAAATAAATTATTTTTTATAATAAATTGTTGTTACACATGTTATTAAGAACTTTCTTCTAACAAATTACCTGCTTATTACGTCTACACTAAAAATGGACAAATGAAAACTTAAAAAAATCGACTTCCAGGCATTAAAATGTAAAAAATAACTAAACGGGGGGTTTTCATTTAGAATAGATACCTAATCAGATATTTTCGAAGTCGGTGCCAGCCGACAATATTTTAAGATATGAATATCTAAATAGGTAAATATGTGTTTTACTTATCGAAATATATTAGATTTGCTTTGCATCGGCTGGTACTGACTTCGAAAATATCTGATTAGGTATCTATTCTAAATGAAAACCCCCGGTTTAGTTATTTTTTACATTTTAGTGCCTGGAAGTCGGTTTTTATTATTTTTTTAAAGTTTTAGATTTATTTACCGTTTACAGCTGCGTTAAAGTATGGTACATAGTGAGCTGTATTTTTACAACCGCTCACTAAAATTGTATGACTTGTCTGAGTGCATTACCGAGGTTTACTTAAAAAATTTTGGTACCAATCTATTGTTTGAATAAATTTTGTTTGTTTTGTTAAAATAGACAACAATTTCAAGAAAATTACGACAATATAACTACATTTGTATATATTTATTATGTGTTGCAAGAATTAATAACTTAGGAATATTATAAGTTCTGTTCATAATTTAACCTTTTACCAGTATAAATAAAGCACGTGCGAGTCAGTCTAAAGTAATGACATTGCTGCAATCAATCACGTTAAACAAGGTAATCGGGTTACATTTAGCCATTCAAAAAATATACGAGGAGAAAGACCGTAACAGTATTGTAATCTATATATATGTATGTAAAACGAAGTCTGGTTTATTACAACACTTATAAAAGAAATGTATTTATTGCCATAAAAAAAGAGTAAAATAAAAAAAATATTAACAGATCAGTAAAAGCTTAAACTAACTTATGGTAAAGGGTAATAACTCAGCTGATGCTGCTTAGACCGAAATCTCAAGCAGCGCTGATTTTCAGTTACACCCAACTCCCTAGAGTGTTGAGCGGGAGGAAGGCAAGAGGACTATTCCTTCAGTAAACCCCTACAGGAGTCAGAGTACAAAAAAACAATTAAAACAAAAGCAATAAGAAATTTAAAAAAAAGGTTGTGTGCGTGTGTGCGCGCGTGTGTGTGTGCGTGTGTGTGTATGCGTGTATGTGTGTGCATGCTAATTATGTCAGTCCGGC